GAGAAGTGGTGTGGTCTCATCTCTGGACACAGTCACCAAGAAGCTGGACAGCTACCTGCTGGGGATGCTCTAGCTCAGTGATTCCCAAACCTTGGTCTTCCAGGTGTTTTGGACTTCATCTCCTGCCAGTCCAAGCCAGCGTGATGATCAATCAAGAATTCTGCCAGCTGAAGTCCACAACATCTGGAGAACCAAAGTTTGGGAACCATTGTGCTGGAGATCCTACGTTGAGCAGGGAGTTGGACTCTATGGCCCATGAAGTATATCATCCAACCAAGGTGCCCAGGCACCCTTCTTTTTCCAGGACATGTCCTACATTTCAGCCTTCTGTCAAGTAGGAATTCCAAAATGCCCTCCATTTTGAGCACAGCGAAGGAGCATGCATTTATATTTCCATTAGTGCTGTTAACTTCTCTGTTGGTCGTGTCCTCCATTTTTCTAGAACGCCCCACATTTTGCAGTGCCTTGTCCTCCTTTGCAACAATGACATCTGGTCACCCTGCTTCCAACTTTAGGATTTTTGTGATTTAATAGCATATATTTGGCGTGCAACACATCCCTAGCATCTCGAGTTATGATAGGAAAAGACTCTGGCCCAAAGCCCTGGATAAAGGCAGCTGGAAGGTAGACAGACAATCCAAAGCCAGGTGGAACAATATCCTTGATTCTACCTCAAACCAGTCCTTTCATTTCTGATCACGGACGCAATACTTTCTCCAAAGAGCACATTTTCCATCTAAGCCATTTTAAAAAATAGGCTAAACTTTTGAGTACCGAGAAAATGAGCTGCCCCGCTGTCTTGGAAAAAAGAACAGTCTGTCGGAGCTGCACCGAGGGAGATCATGCAGTAAATACAATATTTACTGTGCTAAAAGGAACCCACGTTATAATGGAAAAGGTCTACGTATTTTCTATGCTTGACAGGTACAATACCAAAATGACCATCCAAGTCGACAGCACCAATTCCACAACCAAGAAAGTAGCTGAGATGGTGGCAGTCAGGGGCACCTTATTCATTTAGACCCTTGTAGAAATTGTAGAGACTACGAAAACGGGATTAACAAAAAATTTAGAGGAATTAGGAAAGAAAACAAAATTTCAAAATAAAGATGTTTTATATTTTCATCCACAAAATTTTTAAAAATTTAAAAACAAAAACAGATTTATTAAACAACAATTCCTGAACACATAAACTGTCCTGAATCACATTTGTTGTATAAAAATCACATATAAAGATTGTTTTTGAGTTAAATTTACTTGGCGGCATTTTTTATTTGCAAATTCTCTTATGATTTTGTCAACGGACAATGTTTTAACCTTCCATAGAAAGTACTGATGAAGATGATAATTTGGACTTTGATAATCCAGATCACAAATTGTTTTTTTTTTACATAATTTAATTCTGAAGATGCTTGTTAACCTTCTAGATTCATCTCCAAAATTGATAAGGACTAGGAATCCCAGAGTCTTAGGGCCTTTGCAGACTGCTAGAAATAGTGCAAATTGAGTCCACTTGAAGGGTTAGGGTTAGGGAATCATGGGAACTGTAGTTTATTGTGGCACCAGAGCTCTCTGATAGAGAAGGCTCAATGTCTCAGAAAAAAAAAACAATTCCCATGATTCCCTAGCACTAACCCTAACCCTTAAAGTGGACTCAATTTGCACTATTTCTGGCAGTTTGCAAAGGCCCTTAGTTTGGCAGGGATAAACCAGATTAATCCTCTCTCTTCCCACTTTTTCAGCTGCTTGTAAAATGTCCCTGTTTATCTCCTCTGTTCCTACTTTCCCAGCACTCAAACCACTACACTACACTGGCTCTCAGATGCATGTATGATGTTGGGGGGAAAAGAACTCAGAATCAACACATCATTAATTAACAATATTACAATTTGGGAGTAATGAAGGGCAAAGAAATCAGTGTAATAAACCTGGAAAAATTAACATGCAACGGAGTGGGGATGACTGAATTTCTTTACTCATTTCCCAAACTTTTTTTAGCAATATTAGCAGGCAGAGCTAGTCAATTATTTAAGGCGTTGATTTAAAACGAATGTAAAAGCAGCACATTAATAATATATATCACGCCTCCAAATCCCAATGCTATCGTTATCAAGTAATAAGTAATGCCTAATGTCTAAAATTATGCCTGATCTGAGAGCCAGTTCACATAAAATTTCAAAGCTGTGCTTGAAACGGAAATGGAACTGCAACAAACTGTTGCAGCATGCCTTCATTTCTTTGCCAAAACATGTCTGTTCAGTCAAGTGAATGTTTGCCTTCAGTTTTCCAGTTTGAGGTTTGCCATTGTTTTCCTCTGAAGCAGAGAGAGTGTGACTTGACCTTGTGGATTTCCATGGCTGAGCGGGGATTTGTTTTTTTGCTTTTGTCTTAGCGTACAGGGAAAGTCAAGACTGCCTTCTCTTTTCTTACGTCCTATCTGAGTTAATTGAGAACAAACTACTTTTGCACTTTGAACTCAGTTTACAGCAAGTGAAGTTAGCTGAGGACAAAGGGAGGAGGAGAGAGAAACAGGGGACATTTTAGAGCAATGGAAAAAGTGGGAAGGCAGAAGATTAATGTGATCTGTCTCTTCCAAGATGGGATTGTTGAAGAGTAAGTAAACAGATTAGCATAGCTATCATTGTGGTGCAAATGCTACACACATGTGAACTATAAATCTATTTGTACATGATATGCCTGGCACTCCTAGTATAACCTAACATCTGCTTGGCCCATTGACAAAATTTCTCATTAAGTTCTCATTCAAACACTACTTCATCCAAACTCTCCCCTATCTTAAAGATGTTTCAAAATAGACTTTGTAACTACACATTCAGTCTCCCTTACCTGGAATTCCAAAAATATGAAATATTTGAAAATCCCAAAAAAAAAGAAAAAATCATGGGTGGCTGAAATAGTGACACCTTTGCTTTCTTTTTTTTTTTAGGTATATTTTTTTATTTCAAATTAGACACCTTTGCTTTCTGATGCTTCTATCTACACAAACTTTGTTCCATGCACAAAATTTCTGATGGATCAATGTATACAAACTGTGTTTCACGTGCAAAATTATTTAAAATGCTGTATAAAATTAATTCAGTCTATGTGTATAAGATGTATATGTAACATAAAGGAATTTTGTGTTTAGACTTGGGTCCCATCTCCAAGATCTCTCACTATGTACACATATGCAAATACAGGTATTCCAAAAACCGAAAGACTTTTGGACCCAAGCATTTCAGAAAAGAGAGACTCAGCCTGTAGCATGAATTGATACCAGGCTTGGCACCTTTGTCAAAGGATTCATTTCTTATTTTAAGACCATAAGGAGACAATAATGTAGATTAATCGGCACAGTTGTTTTTATAGATTGTGATATCACACAGTCAGTATCAGCAGCTGCCACTAAAAAAATGGAATATAAGACTCAGATTTTAAATATATCTGTAAAGAACTGAATGCTTCAGACTCACATAACCTCAAAATCCTTATTGTGACAAACGCCTTTAGACGGCCAACCAAAAAAGACACAAAGTCTGTGAAAGCTTTCAGGATGCAGGTATTTTATCTTGCATACAACAGCATTAAACCTGCATTTTATATCTCTTTATGTATTTTATATCTCTTTATGAACTGTCTAAATACCCTCAAGGCACTAGATCACGGCTGATCTTGGAAGCTAAGCAGGGTCAGGCCTGGTTAGTACTTGCATGGGAAACAGCCAAGGAACCTCATGTGCTGTAGGCTACATTTCAGAGGAAGGAATTGGTGAAAACAACCTCCAAGAATAACTTGCTAAGAAAACCCAGTGAAATTAATGGGGTTACCATAAGCTGACAGGTAACTTTAAGGCACATGGCAACAGATCCCATCTGATCTTGGAAACTAAGCAGAGTCAGTTCTGGTTAGTACTTAGAAAGGAGACCACCAACAAATACCAGGTGCTGTGTTTCAGAGGAAGAAACCAGCAAAGCCACCACGAATTCTCGCCTAAGAAAAACTTATGAAATTCATGCAGTCACCATAAGTGAACAAATGACTTGAAGGCACATAAACAACACACATAGAATCAGAGTTGTGGTGCCCAGAGCTGGACACAGTATTCCAAGTGAGACCTGACCAAAGCAGAATAGAGTGGTACTTCCCTTGATCTAGACACTACATCTCTATTGATGCAGTCTAGAACTGCATTAGCCTTTTTAGCTGCCGCATCACACTGTTGACTCATGTTCAACTTGTGGTCTAGTAGGACTCCTAGAACCCTTTCACATGTAGTCTTGATAAGCCAGGTGTCTCCCATCCTATATCTATGCATTTCATTTTTCTAAGTGCACTACGTTATGTTTCTCCCTGTTGAAGTTCATTTTGTTAGTTTTGGCCCAGCTTTCACATTAACTGTCTTAATCGTTTTTTGGCCACCAATGCCATAAGCAGCCATTTCAGCCAGGCCAGCAGAGTCTCCTATAGAAAGGGGGTCCTTCCTTATCTAGACAAGTGACACAAGGTAAATCTAGGAAACATATCCAGGGGTAGCCGTGTTGGCCATATAGCAAAGTACAACAACATCCAAAACCCACAAAACAGTAATATATTTACTGGGCCAATGCATAAAACGTATGCAGACAGTCCACTCCTCCTTCTGGCCATGTGGTATTGGAGATAAAGTCTAGAAAATTTAAATTCCATCAGCAAAAGGTGGTTTAAGGAATAAAAATACTTATTTTTAAAAACACATACCCTAGTCTTGGAGCAGCAGAAAACAAGCTGGCTCCATCTTCTGTATGACCTTGTTTTATATATTAAAAGATAGCTGTCATGTCACGTCTTCTCCAAGCTATCCATCTCCCTGAAGTCTGTCCTCCTAGGACTTTGTTTCCAGACCTTCAATCATCTTGGTCACCTTCTTCTGTTTTATATTATTTAAATGGGAGAAGCTAATATATTTTTGCACACCATCCTGAGATCCTATTATATAAGGAGAGAAAGGTCTAAAAGTGAAAGTCATTGTGGTGTAGTGGTTTCAGTATTGGACTACAATTCTGTAGACCAGGCTTCGATTCCCCGTTGGGCCATGGAAAGCCACTGGGTGATCTTGGATGAGTCACATACTCTCAGCCTCAGAAAACCCCATAGGGTTGAAGGCAAACAACAACAATGGTCTAAATATGCTAACAGCAATAGATATCAACTGTTCTGAGAAGTTAAGCAGGTTCAAGCCTAGATGGATGAGAAACTACAAAAGAATATCAGGTTCTGCAGGCTGTATTTCAGAGGAAGGTCATTACAAACTACCTCTGAATATTCCTTACCTGAAAAAACCCTGCAAAATTCAAGCAGTCACCACAGGTAACCCAAAGGCACTTGAACAGAGACACATACATTTTATAATAAACAAAGCTGATTCTACCCTACTAAACATCGATGGTTAGCATGTATACAACTCTCATGTATCTCATGTTAGCACATATACAACATTGGTTAGCATGTATACAACTGTTTTAAACAGTTTTCTTTTTAACTGTGTTTTATTCTCTTAATAAGCAACAATATTGTTACAATTTAATTCTGTTTTAGTGTGCCACTCTTCTATGTTTGTAATAGTATTGTTCTTTTAGTTTTGTGAGCTGCTCTGGATTCCAGTTCTGGGGAAAGAGTGGGATACAAACAAATATAATAATA